ACCTGCCGGCACATGCCGCTCGCACCTCACAGGCCGGAACACATGGATGGGCATTGCTTTCATGGAGGTTGGGAGTTGCGGGCATAATCGGGCCGTTGCGTAACGCTGACAATCTGGTTATTCAGTGCTTATCATCCCCATGGGGAAGGGCAGACAGACCACGAGGTACGTGAATGGGCGCCAGGCAAAGGTCGTCTTGTGGGTTGTGTGGTTTCTATTCCGCGCTCACGAGCGCACACTTTGCGGCACAGTCACCGATTCTCATCCCGTGAAATTGGTCCGTCAGTTCTAGCATAAAATTGACCAAATTCTCCTCTCCTCAAACTCGAGCATCATTTTTTGCGCCATTATTCCAAACAATGACTATTGAATTAGGGAAATTGGGGTGAAAAATAGCTTAAGAACATTGGTGTATTTATAGACCATCTTCTTAGGTTCATTCGCCGAAATGCAACAGCTGCAAGTATTGATTGTTGGAAGCGATTGTCCCCTGACGATTGTGCAGTGTTTTGACAAAAAATAGTAGTCAAAACAAAACGAGGATACAAATAGATTAGCTGACGAAGATAGAAAAAAGTCAACATATTTCTGAACTGAAGTGATATTTTGATTTTTGTAGATAACGGAAAAACCTAATGTAGCGTCACAATTAGTCATAAAAATGCTCCCATCACCGTCATCGCGATGTAAAAGTTCATGTGATGGGTCAAAACAGATGTTTACACGGCGGAGGGTTTGGTACTTCAGTAAACGCGGATGGAAGAGGCTGGTCAGCATTGAGACAAGCGCGTCGAAGGGTACTTCAGGATTTACAAGTCTGGAACTTTATTTGGCAAAAGTAGTCCAGGTTGATCACATCTGGATGGTTTCGTCAGTTCAACTATTGTGATTTGTAGCCTGAACAAGTTGCAGCGACAACAGTCCTACGTCTTTTCTGGGTCACTCAGTTCGTTTGTTTCCACTAATTGTTAATGAGGTTACTTGTTCCACGCGGAACTTGACAAAACGAATACATCCTTCTAGAGTACGCCCCACGGGAAGCATTTTTGGGGCCCACTTTCATTTTCGAGGCTCCCATGACTCTCAACTTGCGTTTAAAATATTAAAATGTCCGGAGGATTTAGCCCCGAACATCTGAAACTGTGGGTGTCATGAAATTAGCGTCTTAGGACAAAAATCCATCCAGCAACAAAAACAACAGTAATTGTAGCTTGAGGAGATTTGGTAATTTTCAACATTGGTTTCATTTTGTCACTGAAACCCATCTATGCTGGCAAGTCGAAAAACACCGTCCAACTACTTCGTCCTTATTAGAAATCATCAGCTTTGCGCATCTCACGAAGCTCCTGGTAAGGAGTCTCGAACTCGGGACCTTCGGACCGGTGGTTTGAACTCCTAACCATTTGTTCGCAAGCAGCTGAGCAGTAGTGAGTTTGACTGACGCTTAAACAGAAAAGAGCGCTCCTCATTCTTCAGTCATGGAATCCAGAGCACGTGGTTTACTATTGACTGGTGAGGAAACCTTTCATGTGGAAGTTTCACTCATCTTGTGAAGTCATTCTTCCTCTGAGTCACTCATGGACGGGTCACAGTTTGAGGAGTTTTGATTATTTCCGGTTAGGATTTGATCCTGTAAGTGAATCCAATCTATGCTAGAGAAACCGAGAATCACTGTATTCGGTTGGCAACGTAGATAGCTTGAAAAAGCCTCACTAGCTGGGGAACTGATGCATCATTGGCGTGTCCGGGATCCCATGAGTTTAGTCTCATTTGAAACGAAAACAGTTTGTTAAAGGTGGGAATTGCTGTCGCCCGCGAAAAGCGATCGATGGCAACAGGTAAACACACTAGTAGCCAATTTTGGTTGTCAAGCCAAAATTTTTACCCACTGTGGAGATGTGGAAAGGCGATTTCTCATCATTTATTCCTAGAACCAGATTTTTAAATTTCATGTTATGATAAGACTTTTCAATACGTGGACTGCTGATTATACGTATCACAACGACTGCTCAACAGGTGATATCCACCATCTGACACGGCTTTCATTGGTCGGATTTCTTGGGTCTGTCAAGGCCGGACTGGCCACCTCTGAGTGCAACATGTTGTGTCGGACCAAACGAAGATATCTTTTAACTAGCTTCTTGAATGCATTTCTGTTCTGTTACTTAGGCATTTAGGAACAAGAAACATGGTTCTGCACTGACAGTAAGCTGGATGCACCGTCTTTGTAACGCTGGTTTCCAACGTGACCAACGAAAACTGTAGAGAATAGCGTGAACATTGGGTTATGTTTTAGATGAAGCACTGTTCACAATCAGCAGGTCATCGGTGTATGTAAGGCCAAGGATTCATTTTATAACGGGATAGTAATTGTCGAGATGATTGTTAAAGATAGGCTACTGATATCTCAAATTTTAGAGCAAAGACCACTGTAGCGTTCAGTGTGGAAGTTTGCAACTTCTGTAGAATGCTGATTAAATTTATGGACAACTCCAAACCGCCATCGCCTACCGAAATTGAACTGCACCCTATTCAACAAAACAAAAAAACGACGGATCTGATGTGGTACTTCTTAGGGAGTTGGTGGAAGTTCTGAACGACCTATTGGCGGTTTTCCATCTTTTGGGCACCAGCAAACAGACTTATTCCCCGAATTTTTAAAAGTATTAACGTCTAACTGGATGCATGTGCGGATAGATGGCAGGCAGGGAAAACGAGGGATTCAGCTAGCTTTTGGTTACATCTCTCCTCAACACGGGTTGCTAGCGTGTGTACACATCTGTACATATAGCCAATTAGAGAGTAGCAAAATTTCGTGGACTAGGTCAGCTCCACACAGAATAATGTATTTAGTGGCTATCCAGTAGCTCTGATCAACCTTGGAAAAAACCAGGAAACTTACTTTGGCATGTTGCATACCTTTCCGACTAAACCAGCTCGAGAGTAGTTAAAGCAAGAGATTCATCTGAAACTCACTTAAGTCTTCCATTGAACCCGACTTGGTTTGCAAAAGAGGGCTTAGCTTTGAAAAGTGTGAACTAACTTCTAGCCTCCAAGTGATGCTACAGGTCGTGACAGAGCAAGAAAATCGTACAAGGCAACCACATTTCGGGCAGAAACATCGGTTTTGTTGGGTTTTTATGAAGAAGCAAGCAAGGCATAGCTAAGTACATCACCAAAATTTCCAAAAAACTACGATTCGAACGGGAAACAAATGGGCACTTTTACATCCTCAACTCGAGCTATTCATAAGGCAAGTTTCTAGCACAAAATATCAGATGTGGCCGACTGGTTAGCTGCGAAAAGAACGCGTCTTAGACAACAGACACAACATCTGAAAGTTGGAAAACATGTGAGAGTCAATATCATTCTGTGCATAAACGTCCGTCAGCAAAAATCGCGCTGTACCATTACCGAGAGCGTGCTTGAGCAGTCCAACGGACCATAGGGTCTGTGTCTAGCTCCTTAATTCTCAGATTAAATCGTTCCAACATCGTGTGACCTCATGTGTTAGCATGTTCGTGTAATCAGATCTTGTCGGATTTCCAGGAAACAACACAAAGTTGTTTAATTTTTAATGGAGCGGATCAAACTGATTAGAGATCATAAAAACCCAGTAATATCGTACATATTTACGTTTGCCCACAGTCTAAATAAACCATTATTTTTTTGTTTGACTGAATTTCTCGTGGGTGCACACGTACCCAGGTCACTTCAGGTGGATAAACGATGAAGTCTTGTTCCTTCCTATGTTCCACCATCTTTTTTCCCAGGCAACAGGCGAAAAGGTCAGTGGATACGGGCAAAGGTGCTGACTGTCGTGACAGCAACTTTGTTTCATTCTGCAGATCACGGATCACACCAAATACTACACGTAGACAGACTGTCTGGTCACAAAGCTTGCGGCATGAAATAAGTATTTAACTAATTTGAGTTCACGACCAACTGTGTGGGTTGCGAAATGTTGGGGAATCACTTTGTTATCTCCGAGAAACTGTGAATTTGTTCAGAGCAGACGAATTAAATTTTCGTGGCCACCGCATCGTAAGACCATGGGTGTATTCCCTTCGCCTTGAAGTTATGCCGTCTTGGTAGCTCCATACTATTTCTTACTATGCATATTACAAGATATTGCACTTTTTGTATGCTGCCTATGGTGTCTTGCCCATCCACATAGGACCGTATTTGTGAGGCGTTTTAAGTAGAGTTAATGTCCAGGCGAAACTCGTTTGAGAAGAGAACACTACCTTCGAGAGTTCAAAGAACCATTGAATAGCAGGAGTAATTCCTTCTGTAATCTCAAATTCGAGGCTGACAACCCTCAGCCACCCTAAGTTACCAGTTGACCTGAGAGCCTCCATAGTTGTTGCATTCATCACTGGCATACAGGAAACAGTATCTAATGAGGTAATTTGCCATTTAGATAAATATTTTCTAATTTCTGGAAGTGTTGGACAGAAGAACCCTTGGAATGAAATTTTAAGTCACAATTACAGTGCCACAGTACGTACTCGGAAAGTTACAGTGATCTGCTGTTGGTAAGTTCGAAAAGAAACTACCGATGAACTATTATCCAGATCGGATATGGCAATATTGGGCTACCGATGTTCAACCAAGACTAAAGTTTTCAGCTGAGATGTCGCCGTTCAACTGACGCCAAACTATGTTGGGAAACAGCTGTTTCATTCTTATTGGAAATCATCATTAGCGTGCGTCTGACGAACTTCCGGGGAGGTTTGAACCCGCGACGTCTCGGTCAGTAGTTTGAGCACTAAACCGTTCGGCTTAGGACTGCTGATCGGGAGTGTATTTAACTCGAGCTTGTTTTTGCCCTTCACCTTCTTACAATCCGATTCTGTCACTTGATTTGAGAGACGTTTTACAATAAGGGAGACGTTGCAAAAGGATCACCACTGTAGAATAAAATATGCTTGCTTGGCGAATGGTAATACCGAGTTTAAGAGTAGTAATATTGAGAGAAGAATTATAACAATACTTACCCGGTTTATGACACAATTCCCGGTAGTCGGGGCAACAGTCGTTGGTCAGAGTGCAGTGTTCATCGCAAAAGCATGTGCGCAAATCCGATCTCAGGGAGAACACAGTCCCAGGCGAGTAGCGACAGTACTGATACCGGCTGCTGTAATTTCCCCCATTGTCATATGTGTAACTACAACAGGATGGTTGTCTTCCACGACAACACATGGCCATTCCTGAACCTGTTTTGCAACTAGCCTGGACCTCCAATAACGACCGGTCCCCCAACAAGAGTATGGCGGCAGCAATAAGCCAGTACATTGGATTCGATCCGGTTTTGATGAGCAGTAGATGGATGGGATCACGTGACGCTGAGTGCTTTCAGTTTTTAAAATTCCAGCAGTCTCTTTTCACAGTTCCAGAGTTTATATTTTTATTCGTATTGGCTTTAATTTCCAAGCACAGTGTTTGACATGCGTATGACGCACAGGTCACAGCATACGGTTGCGGGCGTATCGATGTAGAGATAAACGTCACTACCGACCGAGAGTATTCACACGCGTACTTATAAAGCTCGAAAATTAGCGGGCGAAAATTAAGTGTCCATTTAGTCCCGTCTACTCTCTTTGTAGTATATGCAGGTGTGTTGATGATGTGTGCCTCTATGGTAGTGACCACTCGTTGCTTTGTTGCTCTACAAGCACACAACTTGTGTGCATACCTTTGCACACCTTCCGGATTATTTATTCACATCAAGGGTAGCTAATAGCAGCCCGAGAGCAGCAAGAAGAACAACCACCATTGCCGAGGCAAGGTAGTGCAACAACGGCAACGTCATTGCCTAGGGTCATGCCGGACTGGTTGGTGGTGCTGTCTGCCGACTGCTCAGCACCAATGGACGGCGACCAGCTGACAACGGGACGGGTATGGCCTAATGCGCCTATCTGGTGCGGCGAATCAAACCGGGTATGTTTTGATTGGACGGTGGACCGGCCGGTACAGTGGTAACCTTAACGACATGGCAAAGCTGACACACTGGAGTGGTGGCGCATTTTGTGTGCTCGCGTAACGTTCGTTCGTGAGGGTGTGTATGGGTGTTCGTGTCAATGAACGGGTATACCGGTAAGCTTGGGAATTAAAGCACACCTCTGGAACCGACTAATACAGACTGATTTAGTAAAAGGCAAACGAAGCACATGATTCAGATGAATCAGTCATCACTTTTTTGTTGCTGCGGTAATATTTCACCCCCAGTTGAGTTCGCTGTCGCCGAGGCGTCTCAGCAAACATGTCTTCCGCTGACATACACCATAACTGGCAGATGTCGAGTTTTTTGTGCTGGTGCGTGTTCCGATAATGAGTGGAATGACTCATTGTGTATGGTACACCAGTTCCGTTCACCTAGTCAAACAGCTGGAAGTAGGGTTCAAAGGTGAAGGACACTCCCAATAATAATGAAACGAAAAATTTGTCCTAAGTATTAAGAAATCGTAACAAATAAATTGAAAGTTATCTTCGTGTGAAATGAATTAAAAACAAAACCAACAAGCAAGTAACCTCGCCTCCAAAGAATTACGTAGGGCCAGGCCATGATCTGTGCAGTTCACATGGAAAACGTCACCCAAAAAGCGAAAGAAGTGCATCACTGGAATGTGTCAGAGTATGCAATCAGCCAAATGAAACAACCAGTTGTGGTTATCTCGCTTAGCTTCGCTTCAGAAAAGGGAATGATTTGTTACGAGGAACCAATTGTCGGTATGGGTTCGTCCACGTTCAGGTAGGGACAGGAGAGGCATTTTTGGAGGGTCAGCTGTGGCTTGCCGATGCCAGATTCCGCCACACTAGAACTCAACTACACGCTTTGTTCAAGCTTAGCTGGTGATCGCGGGATGCGTCAGGTGTCTTTCTGTGATACTGCGAGTAATGTGTTCGGTCAGAAAATCGAGCCTAGGCAAGACCACATGAATCCACTTGTAGGTACGATTTATTGGCGGTCGCCTGTCGAATTCGGTTTTATGGCCTTCGGCTTGCGTGGCTCCGGCTGGCGATTTGCTAAGACATCCAGGCAAGGTAGTGGCTTCCTTTTACCCTTAATGCTGTTTACCCTGTTAACGATGGGACCATCATCAGAGCAGACCTTGTTTGTCTTAACGATCAGCACTTGTACTTTTTCTGTTCTCACGCTAATTGGGTGGGACGGGAGGAACTTCAAGTGCCGACCATAATGAGTTGATCCACGACTCACGGCCGGTTAGATTTGACTTCCAATGAACTAACGAAAAGGCCCGAAAAAGCCGATTGTGTGCTGATTTGTTTCGTTAAGATAGTTGAGGAAGACCAAAAGATCCCCGAAAAACTCTTGTCTTGTGAACACAACATTGGTATCAACAAGAAGCTAGTAGACGATCAACTGAGACTGATTTAGACCTCGAGAATTCCGGGAAAAGTGCTTCTTCGAGACTGATGAGATCAGGGAACTCAGCTTATTTGAAGTATGTTTGTGGTAACGTAGTCTGGCATTATGTAATTCAGTAAGCTGAATGAAAAAATTACTCCTAATTTGGTATCACTTCTCTAAATACTCGTCTAAAATTAGATCACATACAATATCGAAAATCTCCAGTTTACTTTGTGACACACCTGGGTACTTCTGCGTTAAAACTAAGTGAGGTTTTGGTCCATCCGTCTAACGTGTCGAGAGATAGAGCACTTCGCATTGATTTTACCGCTGACAGGAATACAATCGTTGTAGCTAAGCCAAGTGTTCAGTTTTGACTGGTTTGACCTTAAGTTCGTGAAGGTTACGCGGCAAGAGGAACAGTGCTTCCACACGTATTTGCAGAGTGCAGCTGCGTATCTCCTGGTTAGTCGCCTCGTTTTGCTCCAGTTAAGTAATCGTATTTCAGAAAATTTATGATTCTAATAGTTGTGAAATGGACCTGTTCGTCAGGCACGTAAGCGCCGAGCGCTGCTCGCCTATGGGCCTAAAGCGCAATTAGCTGAACTGAAAGGTTTTGCAGTTTACATATTGATAGACCCAGGAACACTGTGTGACGTAAAGTGTATTCCCTCTATTTACCAAGCGGATGAAGGAAGAGCAAACATCAGAAGACGTCGACGAATCATTCCACACCAAATAAAGCCAGTTTGGAAACCAAATCTTACGAAAGCACAAAAGCCAGGACTCGAAGTAAACTCTCATTAGGAGCCATGTATGGAGAGACTGTCGGTAGATCATCTCAAAATTGCTTAGCTGAACAGGATGATATGAATACGTGAGTTTTCTCATGAACTGTTCAGTTTTTAGAACCTGTGGTTAGTTTTAGGTGTGATTCCATTCTAACTGGGCACCGACTTTTTCAGAAAACTGATATCCCTTCGGAATAATCAATGGTAATATGAGAGACTTTGTGATTCAGTGAGTTTTGAGGTCAGAATAATAATCAGCTGTAACCGATGAGAATATTTACGGATTTCATCAGCCTCAGCCGCACAAGCCCCTTTCCACCAGGACTCGGTCGTTGGGGTTACAAAATTCATTTGCCCTTAACACCTTCGTCGGAATGTTTAGGCATACAGAACTTCCTTTCATAGAGAACTCTGATTAGATGTAGATTTGTTCTGTTATGGCGATCATAGAACGGTGGCTGGTTGATTTTTTCCACAGTGAGAATTACAAACCCTTCTCTGAATATCGTCCTCCCGAAGATCGAACCCGCATTAGAACATCGAGAGAATTGGAACTCAGCACTTACACTTTCCGAAAACCGGGGTACAGTCTGAGAAAATATTCGTATCTTTATCACAGGTACGATAGTTCGAAATGCTGATTAGTGTGATTACACGACCACACCGATTTGTCCTCCATTTGGTGCGATCGCAAGAGATTCTCTTAAATAGGCCCACATACGACAACCATCACATGATTCGCCTTTAGTTCGCAACGACAGTTGTACTAGTTGCGGATGTATCCGTCTGAGAACAGAAAAGAAGTACCCGGAAATTTACGAGTCAGTTGATACTTTTGTGCATGATTAGCTTGGAGTTATTCAGGGCTATTCTGGTTAGTTCAGACGCACATATTTTCCAATAAACTTTCAACCTGTTCACAAAGATTCCCACTGAATTACACGCATATGGGGAAGCTGGTATTGACATTTTTAGGGGACGGGCTAGGCTGCAGGCTCTTTGTAAGTTATCAGGTAAACATTGTCGAGGAATCCCTTTCTGTCATTCTTCTTATTCAAAATGAAAATATTTTTTTTAGAATTCAACAGCTTATGACGGTGACCTGTCATGCGTCACCTTTGATGCACAAATGATGACAAGTGCCAATGGAGACTATATGTAACGACAACTCACTCAGACAACTCACTCGGTCCGCATCAGTTGACGGTGTCAAGTGTCTTTGGCACAAAAGTCAAAAGAAGTACAACTCCAGAAAATTGCGCGGCTTCGAGAACCTTCGGTAAATCAATTTTACTAGCGCCCATATGCCCGTAATAATGCAGAGGAGAACATATCACACGACGTTCACGTTCTGAATCAACTCGGGCTTAAATAGACCAATAAGTCAATACACAAACTTCTGAGTGCCCCGGCTGAAGGGATTCGGACTAGAAGACTAGATGAGACCCTAACCCTAACCATCATCACTCTAGAAATCACCCAGTCATCACCACTTGGAAAATCGAGAGAATTGGAACTCAGCACTTACACTTTCCGAAAACCGGGGTACAGTCTGAGAAAATATTCGTATCTTTATCACAGGTACGATAGTTCGAAATGCTGATTAGTGTGATTACACGACCACACCGATTTGTCCTCCATTTGGTGCGATCGCAAGAGATTCTCTTAAATAGGCCCACATACGACAACCATCACATGATTCGCCTTTAGTTCGCAACGACAGTTGTACTAGTTGCGGATGTATCCGTCTGAGAACAGAAAAGAAGTACCCGGAAATTTACGAGTCAGTTGATACTTTTGTGCATGATTAGCTTGGAGTTATTCAGGGCTATTCTGGTTAGTTCAGACGCACATATTTTCCAATAAACTTTCAACCTGTTCACAAAGATTCCCACTGAATTACACGCATATGGGGAAGCTGGTATTGACATTTTTAGGGGACGGGCTAGGCTGCAGGCTCTTTGTAAGTTATCAGGTAAACATTGTCGAGGAATCCCTTTCTGTCATTCTTCTTATTCAAAATGAAAATATTTTTTTTAGAATTCAACAGCTTATGACGGTGACCTGTCATGCGTCACCTTTGATGCACAAATGATGACAAGTGCCAATGGAGACTATATGTAACGACAACTCACTCAGACAACTCACTCGGTCCGCATCAGTTGACGGTGTCAAGTGTCTTTGGCACAAAAGTCAAAAGAAGTACAACTCCAGAAAATTGCGCGGCTTCGAGAACCTTCGGTAAATCAATTTTACTAGCGCCCATATGCCCGTAATAATGCAGAGGAGAACATATCACACGACGTTCACGTTCTGAATCAACTCGGGCTTAAATAGACCAATAAGTCAATACACAAACTTCTGAGTGCCCCGGCTGAAGGGATTCGGACTAGAAGACTAGATGAGACCCTAACCCTAACCATCATCACTCTAGAAATCACCCAGTCATCACCACTTGGAGTACCAGTGAAAGGAAGAAGGCCTCCGCTGCGGAGTTATTTGTAAGGAAGCGCCAAGTGAACAGTTACAGACTATTGAACAGGGAAGCTAAGCTCTCTTATGCATCTTGTTTACAAAACTGAA